ATGACAAGTCGAAATTGGACTTACAGGTAGTTGTTTCGATACGTACCCCCTTTGATACCGCAAAATCAATTAAGTCAGGTATTTTTCTTCTATCCGTTGGCCAATATGTGGGTTCACCTGTTGAGATTGTGTGGAGGTTGAGTACATTTATTGCTTCGAAGAGTTGACGTCCTTTTGGAGATATTAGGCGGGAACCCCATTTTAAGTGTTTAGCATTAAAATCTCCGCCTACTAGGAACCTAGATCCAAGCAGCTGAAAAAATGATATGTACATATCTTTCGTGATACTGTGGCGCGATGGGCTGTAGAGTGATGAGAAAGTCATGTCGCCTTCTTTAGTTTGTACTACAATGTTTGTTGCCTGGATTTCATTCTTGCAATATGGTTTTGCTTCATAATGTTTTATCGAGTTCCTTATGAGGACCGCAGAGCCACCATTTCCTTTACCACTGGGATGCATTGTGTGATAAAGTTCGTAGTTCGGAATTTTAAAGAAACTACGCGTCGTGAAATGGGTTTCTGATACTAGCATTATGTCGACCTGGTTTAATTTTAAAAATGCTTTTATTTCGATAGCATGTTTTGATAGACCATTAGCGTTCCATATGACTACTACTAAATCAAGAATTTTGTTTAGTCGTCAAGTTGATCAGTAAATTTGTCATTACTACGATTTGTTGCATCATTTGCTTCAACAGTGATGTCATCTCACGGATGCTATATGTGGCTCATAAAAAATAATACATAGTCACATATTTATTCGAAAACGAGTTGATTAATGTGTGATGAGTCCTTACGTCCTTTCGTAAATTAATCTGAACCATAAAAGTAAACAAAAAAAAAAAATTTTTTTTTTATTGTTTGAACTCGAAAGTGTTATCAACTTACAGAATTTAAGTACATCCGAACTAAATTGCTTTAGTATGTGATTAAAGAAAATTAGGTCGAACGCCTTGAACTACATTTTAAGTGTATCTATTCTACAGAAAATATTTTGTATGGCTTAAATTGTCTTGTTGTTGCAATTTTATGATATTATAGTATCATTCAAGAATATTCATATATAAATTAGCAAATTATATCACCGCTTAACTAATAAAACGAACACAAAGTATCATACTTCTGTTTAAAGTAGTAAATTTATGTTGCATTCAAAATGAGATAATATTATAACATTATTAATGAAGCATTTAGATAGCTCTGGAACTTCTCTTTTATGTAGTTTAAGGCAAACTTGCATTTAAAATTAATTTAGAATGACTATACATATATTACACAGATTTTTATGAAATTAAATTTTTGTTACATATAGTACATTCATATGTGTTCTTTATGACTGAGTCACTAATTATATTAGTAAATTTTAATTACGCATACGGTATCTATAGTTATCAATCTGCTACTTTCTTAAGAATGTAGAAGAGCGTACCACACAGCCAAAGAAATCTGTTACTGAGTCCTGTGCTGAATTTTTTTATTAAAGGTTTGAAAGACTCAACGATATGTAGGGAACTGCATGCAATTTTGCTACGCTCCACTAAAAGGGCCTCCAATACTCTCACTGAGATGACCCGTAGAGATATCAGTCTTATGATTGGTTTGCGTACAGATCATTGCAGATTAGGTAATCTGCAATGAATCTCCACCTTAATAATACCTCTCGGAGTTGTGGGGACGATTGCGAGTAGAATTGTAGAGAGAATTGCGGAAAGAATTATGGTAAGAATTGTGGAGAGAATTGTGGGGAGAATTCTGAGAAAAATTGTGGAATAAATTGTCTGCTTCTCTCGCAAAAATAACGATAGAGTAAGATTATTCGTTGACATCCTACGCTTAATTAGGAGAGAAAAACAACAGTAATTAAGGAAGTTGTGGAGAGAACGATAAAAGTTCCTCCCATCTGATCGTCTGATTAAGACTCACTACTATTGGGGCCACATTCTTTAAAGATCTTGATCAACTACAAGACCTCCTACTAAATAACATTTTACGCTTCGCGAAAGGTTCAAGGTGATTTCAAACCCTCAATTTTTCCATTATACGGTAGCACAATAGGCCAATAGTTCAAAGTGGATCTTATTAGATCGCCGGTATAACCTAACCTAACCTAATAGTGGACAAAAAATTTGGGCTATTTATAACAAATAATTATTATTATCAGAGATTGTTTTAAAATTTAAGCAAATAAAAAAAATGCCTTATATAGCCAAATGTATTCATAGTCCTTTAAATTCATTATCAGGAGTAAATATTTTTTATAATTTTCTTTAATTGATTTTTTGTTCTGATATTTAGAACATGCACTTTGATATTTAGAACTTTGTTCTGATATTTAGAATATTCAGAAGTTTGTTCTGATATTTAGAATATTCAGAACCATTCATTCAGAACCATATTCAGAACTTTGTTCTGATATTTAGAATATTCAGAACTAGGCATTCAGAACCATATTCAGAACCATGACCTATTTATTATATATGAATACTTATTTAAAACTTTTTTCTAAAATGTAATTATTTATCGTTCAAAAAATTGACAAAATATAAAGTTTTAATGTTCAATCTTATTGAGATTAATGAAAGCATAAATAAATAAAATTTATATATAAATGAAATGAAATGCTCATTTAGTAAAAACTTACTTATTATCATTTAAACTTAAAATACCGAATTAACAAATGCAGTTGTCGGAAACTTTTATTAAATTTGTGTCATTAAGAAGTTACCCACTGGCACAGTTGCTGGAAGTTTTAACGAGCTGAAAAATGTCCTTAAAATTAGATTTAATTACGAGCCATTAGCCTGCCAATTTCCTGACCGAGTGCAAATGAAATTATAAAATTCAACCTCTGGGGCAATACTTCCGAGAATAGCAAAAATACAAGTACTGAACTGAGAAATAATTGAATGAATATTGTGCCAAAGGGTAAAAGTAGCTTAAAAATGTATTGGAAAAATGAAATAAAATTCATAAATCAAATTGCATAAAATCAACTAAAATAATTGTAAAGTGCAATGAATGATATCCCAAAACACGGAAGTTTCATAAATAGTTTTATGTTGTCACTTAATACTGCCAAATATATTTTAATTCATGCAAAAAGAATATAAAAACTTATTATATCATTAAAATCAAACATGATGGAATATATCAAGTTAATTCATATTTGTATTATAATTAAGATGTTTATTTCACTTATATAATACATAAGTGAGTTAAATAATATAAAATTTTATAATAAATAAAATAATATGAAATAAAATAAAATAAAATCAAATAAAATAAAATAAAAAAAAAATAAATAAATAAAATACAATCAATTAATATATATTAAAATAAACGAAATGAAATAAAATATAATAAAATAAAAAAAATATAATAAAATAATATACATTAAAATAAACGAAATAAAATATAATAATATAAAAAAAATAAAATAAAATAAAACAAATAAATTTAAATGAAATAAATAAACGAAATAAATAAATAAATAAAATAATTACATTAAAAAGACGAAATAAATTAAAATAAAATAAAATAAATTAAAATTAAATAAAATGCAATAAAATAAAATAACATAAAATAAAATAATTGAAATAAAAATTAAAATAAAATAATTCAAAAAAAAAATCAAAATAAAACAAAACAAAATTAAATACAAAACAAAAAATAAAATAAAATTTAATAATATAAAATGAAATAAAATAAAATGAGTTTAAATGAGATTATTCTTAGAGAATAATAAATAAAACAAGAAGATAACATACCATTATCTTTAATATATAATTATATATATATAATATATTAGAAACAACGATATTTGCAATTAAATTAAATCGACATATTTTGTTTCCCATTGAAGTAGAAGTCATATCTTAATTTGAACCGATATTAATAAAATTTTACATAATGGGTATTATGATTGAAAGTACAGTTAGTTCTAAATTTCATTTGAATATCTTTATTATAAATGTAACAAACATTATTAGTGTGTTATACAGAATATGGTGGTAGTTTTAGTATATATTGCTCCGATTTTAACCAATCGGTCATATGACGAAGGTTTACTTCTGAAAAGTATATGTACAAATTTTCTTAAAAACTGAAAAAGTAATTTAGGATGAAACCAACAGATGAATAGAGTCAAATGAACTTAGTTTGTTGGACCAATTAAGATTTTGTATACTTTATGGGATCTATGACAATTCCTTCAATCGTGACAAACCTAGTAAATCTTCTGCATAAAGGGTATGAAAATAAAATGAAATAAAATAAAATTAAACGTTCTTAAATTTAATAATAAAAAGAATATTAATAATTAATATAAATTATAAAAACTTAATACATGAAACTTACTTTTTCATTTAAATTGACCAATAATGGAATAGACGTGAAAATCTACAATTATTATTTTATACACCAAATTCTCTTTCTATCAAATTGATGTAAAGTTGAAGCATTTTCCCTCATTATTCAAGACCTGTACCAGTATACCAAACTTGCAGAACTGACTGAGCTGTTTTCCTTTACCATAAAAAATTTGTATATATTTTTTGATTTTATTAAATCTATAATCTATAAGATTAAGTGTATAAACTTATTACTCTTTTTTTTCTTCAATGTCCCTTAAACCATATGATAACTTTAATTATAAAATAGTTTGCTAATCCAAACAAAAGAAATAGAAGTATAATTATTTTTATAAAAATATTTTTTTTATTAAAAAAATTTTATTTTATAATATATTTTATTACTCTTAATTTTGCATTTTATTTTTATTGTAAAATAATTTATTTCTATGTAATATAAATTATTTACTGCTTATTGAATTTGTGTATTATTTGTTGTATTAAATGTATTGTTATTTATAATTTATTTAAATATTTAATTGCTTGACAATATCACACTACCACACCACACTATCAATGTACTCGTAAAAATATATGTATGTTCTAATTAACTATTTCAATATATTTAATATTTTAATCAATTTTAAATAGGCGTAATGGAGCCTCCGGAACATCAGCACAACCGCTGCGTCCTAATGAGGATGGCAGCCATCATTTACAGGAATATACTTATAAGAAGATAACCGCCTGCGATGTTTGCTCACAAATTCTAAGAGGTATTGAAAAATTAAATAAAATTAATATTTTTTTATTAAATAATATTTGATATTCGTGTTATAAATAAAAACAACAAAAAAAAAAACCTGCTAAAATCCTAATGCTGATAAGACCGAGCCTTGTTTATGTTTACATAATATAACATAGATGCCATAGATCTACCAAAACATTGTTTTGAGAAGATTTCTAAAAAATCCATGATATCTAAGAAATAATAAAATCCATAAAAATTTAATATTCGAAAGATTCAAACAGTCTATTAAGGATAGAACTTAAAAGCTGTTTTCAAGAAGAGATGTTCATTCTCATCCATCACTAAGTAGTCAAACAAATCAAGAGCACATTTGTTGTCTACAATTTTAAATAACTTTAATACTAATTCACAGACGAAAATTGATATTCCAATATCGGTTTTGTGTTCTACGGGAACAAATTAGTACCTTATCTGACCAATTGACCATACCTGCACTTTTTCCCTCTATCATTTTACTCGGAATCCGTATTGGATAAACCATTAAAATGTTGCGAATTCCATTGAGTACTGATAAGCAACATTTGAAGCATTAGTCTATGTCTTAGATACATGCACCAATACCGTGCTAAGCTTGTGTTATTGAAACTAATTTTTGTCAGTTTCTTATTATTTCACTATCAAGTTCACTTAATATATAATGGTAGAAAAAAAGCATAAACATAAAGTTAAATATTAATGTTATTAACGACTATATATTAGAGTTTACATTTTATATAAGGGTTTGCTTAGCGTTCAAAAAGTATTTCCCAAATAGCTATGTGGAATTACCCAAAAAATATCTTTAATTGAAAATGAATTTTTTTTGGTGTAACTCATCATTTCATATAATGGATATGATATATCTTTTCGATATATTTTTCTAGTCATATTTGACTTTTCATGAATTTAATGGATGAATTCTATTTCCAGTTCTGACCACATAGTGAATAGTTTGCATATTAAAAGACCAAAAGACAAACAGACAAACTAACATCGTTATTTACTTAATATTGCTATGTGATTGAAAAATATATGTAGTTAAGATGCAATCAATCTTACATCCAATTGCAAACCTTTTTAAAATCATAGAACACTTTTTGCATATTATATATATATGTATGTATATGAAAAATAGGTTGTATGAAAATAAGATTTCAATAAAAATTGAAACGAACCACTGCTACTGCATTGATTTTTTCACAGTACAAATAAATGGCTTTCACAGTAGTGTTTAAATAGATGTGACACTGAATACACTTTAATATGAAAAAATAATATTTATTGAGTGAAGTATTTATTTTTTGCAGGACATACACGTCAGGGCTTACGTTGCCGCATCTGTAAGCTCAATTCACATGGCGATTGCGCATCCCAATTGCCGCGTTGTCAGCCAAAGCAAAAATTGCTCAGGCGTCAGAAGAGCACATCTGAGCTCGAAAATCGCGTTGATATCGAAGAAGAAAGTAAGTACTGACAGTTGCCAAATAGAATAAAAATATTAAAAAGAATAAGTGAATAAGAGATAAAAAATATAATGAAAAAGAAAATCAAAAAGGCAAGTTGGCCGGATATATGTAATGGCTTAGCTATTATGTTTTGAATTGACAGGTCAAATTAAAAAAAAAAATTTTATAAGAAAAAAAAAATATTTTTATATTTACAATAAAATAAAGTTGCAAAAGTGATTATTTAAAAAAAATAAAAAAATAATAATATATAAATAAATAGGCAGTTAAAAGAAATTTCTATAAGTTCCAGAAAAGATATGAATAATAATTTACGGCGTAAAAATATTATATTAAAGCAACAGTTTTCAATATAAAACTTATTGCTTGCTTAACTAACTATTAGATATATTTGCATATAATTAAAAATTTAACAATTTGACTGAATTTAGTTTAAGGGATATTTTTTTAATTACTACGAACATGAATTGACATGTTTAGAATTTGTAAAAATAATTACTAACAAAATTATTGCATGATTTTATTTTTTATTTTATTAATTTCTATTTATAATTAACTGTAATTTTATTATTAATTAACATAAACTAAAATACGAAAAACTAAGTTATTGTGTATAAATTATATTGTATCCTCTACATATACCTTTTAAAATATAACAAACTAACATTTGCCACATGCATAAGAGTAACACTCTTTCAAATATTTTAAGTAATTTTTAATATAAATAATTATAGACTCAAATACAATATATATTATTAACTCACATACATGCCACAACTAACTTAGCTCATATTCCGTAAAGAATTTTAAAACAAGATTTTATATAGTATTCTTTGGTATTATTTAGTTTATCTTTATTTTATTTCAATAAAAACTTAAAACAATATTAAATATAAAAATCTAATATAAAAAGAAATGTATTTATTTATATATAAAATTTTCTTGGAATTCTTGGAATCGTTTTGAGATTTTTATTTTAGTTTTCATTTATTATTTTATTTTGTTATTTTATATTTTTTACTCTAACGTACTTATATTGTTACATTTATCATTATAAAATATAAAACAAACAAAACAGCTTAAGTATTTTTAAAAAATATAAAAGTATTTGTCCTTGTACTATGTATAAATAAAAAAAAGTCCCGAAACAAAACATAGAAATACAAAGGACTTTTTCGACAATTTTTATTTTTTCTTGATTTCGAAGTAAAAGTAAAACTTTTCGCAGGTTCCACTTTGTTATATACAACGGTGTTTTTCTTTCCAGTTATTTGTACAAACACAGTCCCCAGTAAAAACCTATTTTAATATGATATTTTTGTTGTTGTGTAAGTATTTAAAAATGTGGCTACGAACGCCAGAAGTATGCAATTGAGAAAATGCGATTTTGTGCTAGATTGATTGTTCCATAGCTAAAGTGCAACTATTTTTCTCTATTATTTTATTTTTTTTCTATTTTTTCTTGCTTTACTTCTATGATTGTCAATTTATAGAAAACGAAAATTTTATTTCTATTTATTTATGACTCTACAGTCGACACTGGGAACTTGTCCCAATAGAACTGTATTGGGACAGTTCTATGTCCCAGTTCACTGTCCCATTTCTTATCACATAACACATATACACATCTTTATATAAAATAAGTACGAACAATAAAAAAATGTATTTGGTACGCAATACTCAATGACAGAAAGAATGTGATAAAGTAATACCAATTTATAAAAAAAAATAACTTAAAATTTTGAAAAAAAACCTCAAATCCAATTATTAGTCACGTCATTTTGACAACGAATTTAGGAAAGTCAGCACTTTTTTCGCCTACTTTACTCCATATAATAATACAGCGTATATGATATAACCCGTATGAGATATAGTTGTATATGATATATTTAGTAACTATGTACTCTCCATGTAGTGCGTCTACTTTATGTTAATGGGTTTCATGTAAACATGTCAAATTTTAAAGCTTATTCCTCAAAAATTAGGCCATCTTGATATATAGTGTAGTGGAGAAGATTTCAGAGTACACGTGACTATAATTAACATTTTTTTCAAATGGATATTTGTTTTCATATAACAATTTATAATTTCAAAAACCGATATTTAAGAAACTTAGCTATTTCAGGGTATAGAATAGTGCAAAATGTTTTAAAATAGTTGAATCTATATAAATTTGTAACTTCAAGTTTAAGGTCAGATAAATTTGCTAAATTAATTAACTCTTTGTCAAAGAACTTTGAAAAACATAATAGACGGAGTCTACTATTGCACATAATAAATAAAATATAACATTTGCTTAAAAAAGAAACTTTATCGTTATAACAGGGTTGAGTTATAAAACCCAACGATAGGCGCGCACTGACTCAGTTGGCTCTTGTGGCTCAGTCCGTTATTCATTTTGTTTGAAAATCATAAATGCAAGCTAGTAATAATAGTCCATAGTAATTCTAAACTAATGCTCATAACAATTTTAATGTATGTTATGCTAATAAAAAAAAAGATACAGCGAAAAAATGCGTTGTGGATAACTCCAAACGACCACGAAGCGAAATTTATGATATAGAATATATTAAAAAAGCCAGAACCCGTTATAATAATTCAGAAGTTTATCAAAAAAGAAAAAATTTATGTTATAGGGCATATAAAAAAGCCAAAACGCATTGTAATAATGCAGAAATGTATAAACTAAAAGATTTTTTATGATGAATCTTGTTGTGTATAGCGCAACTATGTAAATGTAAACAAAAACAAATAATAAATTATGTCATGTATTTTTGAAAGTGCTTATGCACAAATTATTTTATATTAACTAATGTAATGCGATCGCACACGGAAGAACCACCGCAATGCAAGTAGAATATTTGGTCATAGCAAGTATGCAATTGCTATTTGACACTTTTCTTTTCTGTGCTACTATTCTGCACTTGTCGATATGACACACTTGAATGTGTCATAATATTTTCTAAGCATTGACGTGGGTCAACCTTTTTAGTGCCGCCGCAATTAAAATTATTAGGAAAATATTTGTAAATTATTGTAAAACATTTTTGTATAAATAGTTTGGAAAATTGTTAATAAAATTCAGATTTTAAACTGAGCTCGAACAGCTTAAACAAAAGTCTCAAAACTTATTTTGTCTCGGCATTCTTGGATGCCTAATAATGAGCAGATTTCTTCCTGCTAATCCTAATGAGAAGAAACTAATAAATTCGAAAATAAAAATCTTACAAAAATAAAATAAAAATAAAAATAATATATTTTGTATATGAAAACAAAATTTATTATTACATGGCGATCCTGACCACTCGAATCTGATCGAAGTCAAGCCAAAAGAAAAAAAAAAAGGGAAGTTCTAGGATCTAAATTCTCTCAAAAAAATTATTATATTATATTTTCTCCCAAAACAACATACGTCAATTTTGTATGTCTTTACTTGAGGAATCTAAAAATATTTCCCAAGTTTGGGAAAAATTTCTGAATGTATTTGATGACGTTGAAGAGTACATCCCTCAATGTATAAATGGTCTTCCAATAGAAGCTCCAAAATACATACCGGTGGACAAGACAGCTGGACCTAAGCCGTTAACAATCGAGCAGTATAAAGCGAGGCAGCAGAAGCCAAAAGCAACACCAGTACCGAAGACACCAATAAAACCTAAAAGAAAAAGGGGCGGAAAGCAATACAATAAAAGAAAACTAATAGCAGTCCTATATAGAGAATTGAATCTTGCCACATCGTCAGAAGACCAATTGTCAATAAAAAGAAAAATAAGAGAGACAAGGAATGGGCAGTCAACCCACCAAGGAAGAGGTGATAAACAACACCAACAACAACAACAATAACAACAGTAATAACAGCAGCAACGAGTTAGCTGATTCTAAAACAATTTTGTATTTTATATGTATTTTATTGTTGTATTTAGTACTATCCAAAGTAAACAATCATTATAAAAAATATGTCAAAAGACATGTTATTTTAAGCAATAATATGGTTTAAATTTGCAAAGAAAAAAAAAAAAAATTTCTTATTTCAAAAAAAAATATATATGTTTTTAAAAAAAAAAAAAAAAAATTTTTTTATAAATATGAATAACTTTAATTGTTTTGTTTGTGGTAAAAGTTACCAAACAAGTAGAAGATTAAACAGACATTTAGATAGAAAACATATTAAATTAATTAATTATGTTAACCATTTAATAAAAAAATTTTTTTTATAATTTTTTGTAAAAGTACACTAGAACTAATGTATCATAAGAAAATATAACACATATATAACATTTACAATAATAACCATAATAATTATAAGTCTAATTATATTGTATTTAATAATAAGACTAGAAGGTCATAAAAATAAGAGAATGTACTTCAAAAATTTTTACTTTATGAACTATAAATAAATATATATATGGAATTCACTGAAGCTAAACAGATATTAGAGAAGCTTAAGAAAAACCCTAATAGGTTATATTCTAGGGAATTTATAGAAAAAACAAAGGAAGAATTAGAAAATATCTGGTTAAAATATTTACCTCTAATAAAGGAGTCTGACTTAGAAGCTTATAAACAAGCATTTAGTAATTTAAAAAATAATATAGAAAAATATCTCAAACAAAAAGCAGACATGGCTAGTTTTGATATTTCGACAGCTTCGAAAATAATACCCCAATTCAGTGGTGAACAACAATCACTATCTACTTTTCTTGGCATGATTGAATTTTATCATGACACCCTTAAAGAAGGAGTCGATAGAGAATCCTTGATTAAATTTGTCTTAGCAACCCGAATAACTGAGAAAGTTAAAAACAGAATTTTAACTGTTGTAAACCCATCTACACTTATAGCGTTGAAACAAATATTACATGACGCATATAAACCAAAGAAAAATACAGCACATATTCAAGGTGAACTTTCAAGATTATACCAAGGTAATATGAGCATAAACTCATATGCTTCTAAAATAGAATCCCTGATAGCAACTCTAAATGATATTCAGATAACTGAACGAGGA